AATAAAATAAAACACATACAAAGCAGAACTAAATGTGTCAAAAGTATGTCTATGTAATATTAGAATTTTCTGAGACAATGAATTTTGGTTTTTCATTTTTTTCCCCGTAAGAGGTTTTTATTTAATAGAATTTTTGGACAAAAAAAATCGCAATATATCGCCTTGCTTATCGTATCACAATATATCGTATCGTGACCCCTCTGTCATGATATGTATCGTATCGCCAAATTCTTGCCAATACACAGCCCTAGAACATAATTCATAAAAAGAAGTCTGGCTTCGATTTTAGAATAAACAAACTCCACATTTTTAAAAAATGCAAACAAACAAAAGCACAACATCTTTTAAATTAACCAGGTCTGGGGCCAAAACGTCTGTCTGCTTTAGAAGTCGAGCACAAATTAACCGAAACCCCTAACGAGACAAAATATTAACGAGCCAAGAGCGTTCATTTTTATGCGAGGATCATTTCATCCATAAAACATGCCGCGTGCCTCCACAGTGGACCGATCTGTGTTGGCTTTGCATCACATTTGTGGATTAGTGGTTTGTAATCTCCGAGGGGGCCCCAAAGTTAAGCTGATGCAGGAAGAGCCCGACTGTCTCACACACGTGCACTTGTCATGTGTGGGACYTCGAACGGCCTCTTATTGTCTACATCCAACCCCGCTGCTAAAAATAGAAGAGAAAAAAATGCATGCAGTGCTCACATTAGTGTGAGTGAACGGTTGACCACACAACTAAATAAATCATCAGTATGTTACTGCCACTGGAGCTCAGTTTCACATTTAAGTTAAGCTCAGAAAGCCTGAACACACGTTTTCACATCAGGCTTTACACTTAACTAAAAACATGAATGTTTCTGCATCTTTAGTAGTGAGACTAAATACCCAGATTTTACAAAACACACAAAGACAGAAATTTATTTTATTGTAACATTTTCCCATCTTAACTACAGGTAAAGAAAGGTTTGTACAAATATATGGAAGGAATAAATAAATATATATTATAAAGTGTAATAGTGGTCTGTAACCTATAGCTAAAATGTTAAACACAACATAATTATCATAGACAATAAAAGAAACAGTTTGTCATTTACTGTTCTGATCAGATGTATAAAAATGTAATTGCTTGTTAAATTGTTGCCACATCAGCACCACTCTCAGCTTACAGCAGAAAACAAATAAAAACTATTTCTTCATCAAAGAAACTAACCTATAAAAAGTAACTGATTCACCATTAATCCAACATTTTTCAACWAAACAGTCAACAACTTATTTAAAATATTCCCATTTCCTCCTGCACAATTTTAAACTGGACTGCAACTGTGCCCAACTTATTTTATTTAACCTGCTTTAAAAAATGTGAATAAATTCATCTTAGCGCACCTTTAAATAAGGTGTAAATGATTAGATCTGAAATCAGTCTTCAGTACATCAAGAGAACCTTCACACTTGAAATATTTTAAAACCTGGAACTAGAATAACTTTTGAAATCTCTCCCAAATGAAGCTTGAATTGTTTTTTGGTCAAAAATGATTTACCTCATAATATTTATTGTGAATAAAGTGAAAATTTGAGCMAAAAACCTGATCAGGATGTAAGAAAACTGATTACTTACTTGTTTTATCAATCAAGCTCTGAGCCTGCTCCTCCATCCATTTCTGGTAATAATCTTTCACATTTTCTTTGTGTTTTCGACCGCTGCAGTGAGTCTTCCTCACTGAAGGCTTAGGCAGAAAAAAAACTATTAATAAAAGGATACATTTATTTATTTGAAGTGGGGCTGTGTACCTTTGAGTAGTCAGAATCTTACCTGCAGTAAACAGATCACAATCTGTTTAAAGAACTGGGGATCATTTGGATAAAAAACAAGCTAACAAATGCTCCCCATAAGAAAAACTAACTCAAACTTCAAAACATTTCAATTTGTTTCAGCAAATGYTTTATATGATGAAATGTGTTTGTGCTGTGTTGTCACACAGCTTGTGTCCCAACATGTTTTTTTATATGACATCTGATGCTAGAGTGGGGCAGGGTAAAAACTTACAGTATGTAATTAGCTTAAAGCTTTTATAAAAATGGACATTTCAATTGATGAATTTAGTGGTAAATTGTAACCTTGTTTTGAAACTTATTGCGCTGATTGTCGACTACACAGATTAGATTCTGACTCAACAGGGAGGTTACACAACCCAACTTATCAAATATCCCTTAAAAGGGGGAAGAATAACACACGACAGTAAGAAAAACAACAGTTTTGTCTGCTGACAATACACAGCTCAATTGTTAAATACACAACAATGTGACTTACCGAATCATGTGTAAGGTAAGTATCACAATAATCACAGTAAAACCTGTYCAAGGTAAAATAAAAGAAGAAAAACACAAATAGTCTTTAATATCATGAAATAAAGTTAAGTTTWTCTAATAAACATGCACAAATTTGGACACAAATCTGATGCCTCATATCCAGTTGGCAGAAAACATAAAAATACAATTAAATAATTTACAAGAGTATTATCTATAGTGACAAAATACTGAGTTAAACGTTTTGTTTTTTGACATCTTGTATACTTRGCTATAGAGGACAAAACCTAAAGAAAATTTCCCTTTAGACACAAAKTCTGACTGAAAAAGCAACCAACAAAGGTACGTATTATTTGCTGCTCATAATGTCTTGCTTTTTGTTTAATTTTATTTCAGTTTRGTCTTTTAAGCAGGACTAATAAAGTGAAAATGATATCGTTGCATTTCCTCTCAATTCTTAAATATTATCCAATGAGTAAACGGGTTTAGACGTGAGCTTTTTTTTTTTTTAATAGAAATATTAATATTGTAACTTTTGCCTAAACTGGTTAAATCCGACCGAAATGCTATTTTTCAAAATCACTATCCCATGAATGGTTTGGTAGCAATTTATTCTGGTACCGCAAATGTCCATTCCAGCAATTAGACACATCCCAAACAAAGAAAGATCAACGTAAGTTATCGTATTCCAGACCCTGTCTTCAATCCATTCGTTCCATAATGAAAGAGCGGACAAGTATTACGCGACTGAACTAATACAGAAAAAACTAAATCAATTAATGTAAATTTTAAGTACATATGCACTTACTTAGGCATGTTTCTCAGCTACCTCWGCGGACACAGCGAATGGCGTGCTTCTTACAACTGTTCCGACCAGAAATGAAGGAAAACCACAATCTGTTCCGCAGGACAATTGTTCCTTTTTATTTTTAAATTGAACAACCAATAAAAA